TCACGCTTTGCCTTCTGTATTTCCCGTTTTTTGCCTGCTCCTCGTCTGGTTCTGTTCTGCCTCTCTGATCACGGTAACAACCTCCTCTTCAGTCTATGACCTCGACTCACGGATCACCCTTTTGGATTACCCTTGTACCACTGACTCCCTGTGTTTGACTCCTGCTTTGCTCTTTGAACCACAAACTTGCATTGCCCCACTGTTCATAGCATTAAAGGCCTCACTCTGCAGCTGCCTTCCCACCAGTTCATGTCTTTAAACTCTGACAGGTGGCTCTCACCCCACTTGCCTGCTAAGACCCGTTACTACAATTGGACCCTGACTCCAGCTACCAGCAGCCTTATTAATAAAAGCTGTTATTAATTTTTGCACTCCTGTGTCTGGCTTATTTTGAATCCAAAACCCTGGTTTGTGACAAAATCTTTTGGATAAAAGATGAAATGTTTCAGCAAGAAGAATAAATTATTTAAAAAAAAAAAAAATCAAACATTGTGATTTCCGGCTTTTTTATTTTATAGATTATGTCTCTCACAGTGCACATGCACCTAAGATGAAAATTTCAGACCCCTCCATGAATTCTAAGTGGGAGAACTTGCAAAGTCGCAGGGTGTTCAAATCCTTATTTTCCTCCCTGTAATGTCACAGCTCCATGTCCATGAAGAAACGAGTGGAGAGAGGGCTGCAGATGGACCAGGACATTCCACCAGATGTTCTGTGTGAGGACCTGCTGCTGGTGGTGGAACCAACACAAGACTTATCCTTTGCTGTCAGATCTTGCTTTCTCATATTTATGTGTTCAAGCTTCTTCTACACGCAGCAAACATGTGTTCTCCACTGCAGGAGACACCGTCTGTCCAGAACGTTCACGCATACTGCCTGAGAAGCAGATATGATCATTTTCCTCAACAAGAACCGTTTCTGATTTTATACTGTACCTGCTGCTAATCTGGACTGGGTTGTACAAGTTGTTCTTTTTTATAATCATGATAATTTAGTTTGATATTCTGCAGCAGGTTAGCCCTTCAGTGGGAGCTCAGTAACATGGCTGCACCATCACACTGGACATGTGGAAATGTGTTCCCATGACGTGTTCAAACATAAAGCTCTCTTGTGAAAGTGTAAGAAAATTCACAACATTTATATTAAAGTTAATAAGTTTGATATTTATGTACTGGTTGAAAATAGCCCCGTGACAAATCCATAGTAAAGTTAATAAAAAGTTAAAGGTTCATAGAATTAAAATTCAAATAGAAGTTCAAATTATTTCATCCAGAAAGAACTTTGGCTAGCTAGCTCATTTATAACACGTGGCTCGTTTTTTTAACCTCGCCTCTAAAACGAATCACAATCAGGATCAAAAGAAACTTGAATCAGAATTGAAGTTGTTCATATTCAAACGATGCCCAACAGCGTTTGGTTTTTCTCTTCAAGTTGAAACTAAAATCTTGACCCTTTTAAAAAGTGAAGCTATGCGTTTTCTTCGTCTAATCTGAAATGTGTGTTTTGTGTCAGTTTGTTCCTAAAAAATTAAACCAACATTGTCGTTTTGTCACTTTTCCTTCTTTTCCATTTATTTCACTGTATATTTTTAAAACTCATTAAAAGCATTTGCAAAAGTGTCAATTTAAAAATCGAACCTTGGTATAAACCAGATTCGTGACTCGGACGGAGCGACTTTATAGTTTTGAAGGTTTTAAACAGGTTTGGATCTTGATGATGTCCACACAGGTCATCGTTTTTATTGAAGGTGGAAATTCTGAGCTCCAGCGTTCGACTCATCGAGCTCCAGGTTTACATCCTGTCCAGCAGATCCACCATTCCCAATCCTTTCATCTTCTGACCCATAAAGCATGGAGGCAGAGACCTGCTTGGTCTGTGAAGTGGACAAACGCTCCTGATGGACCAAACAAACACATCTGATCCGTTATGACTTGTAACAGTTCGGGTCCTACTCACTTGAAATGATTAAAGTCTGTCATGATCCTCAGAAGGTTACTGACCCAAACGTTGGGAGCCGTTGGTTCTTTGGATGAGCGGTGGAAAACCCAAGTTAATAAATAATAAGACACTAACAAACAGTTCATCATTAAACAAACACAAATAATATTTGTGCCACCTTATCACTACCACTCTGCTGTTTTGTAGAGATGCTCTCCACCTTTAAAGGGCAGCGTAAACTAAAAGCAATTTAAATGTTCTGGACTTCTCTCTTGACTCCGACTCCAGCTCTGAATTGTGAGGAAAACAAAAGAATATTTCAGTTTAAACTTTTTAAAAAATATATTTTTAATAATTTAACTTTTTGACTCCTGTCAGCTCTACGTTGTCCTTTCACGATCCTCATGAGACCATGTCCATCCATGTCCATACGAGCCTACAGGACACACGTTGTTTCCCTTAAACAAAACGCACAGATCACCAGGACGTCTGGAGGAAACTGAACAACAAACTGTACAAATCAGAGTTCTAAGATCCTGATGATAAAACTCTAGGTCTGGAGGTTTTCCTACAAATACGTTATAAATGTAAATAATTCACAAGGAGTGAATCTCCAGCAGTACCTCCTCTTTGTTGGTGAGGCCAGTGAGGTCCATGTTTGGAGCCGAGGCCGCAGACTGGAGCTGAGCCTCAACCTCCTCCAGACGATCCTTCACCGCCTGAATCCTGCGCTCCAACATGATGTTCAGAAAATCTGCCTCTTGCTGCTTCTTCAGAACTGTCTGCTCGAATGAGGCCAACAGCTCGTCCCTCTCCTGCTGAACCTGCACCACATATGAAGAGACATACAAATGTTTACAAGGGATCGACGTGAAATTTTACTTACATTTTTGTTTTTACCTTGCAGAATTGTTTTTCCAGACCCGCATGATCCACTCTCAGGTCTTTCAGGACTTTTAATTTGGGCATTGGGGGCATTTTCTGTTCACAACAAACAAAATAAAACGCCCTGCGTAAACTTTCTTCAGCGAGACACTGTTTAACACTGCTTTAAATAAATTAGTTAAAAGAAAGACAACTACAAAAATCATTTTCAACATCACCTCTGTGCATGTTTGCATCTTGTCCCAGAAAGCGGTTTCCTTCCTGACTTTAGTCAGACTCTCTTCAAGCTGAAGCTTTTCCAGCAAAGCAGAATCCACGTCCTGTTTTATTATATTCACTTCCCTCTTCAGTTTACGGTTTTCTTTCTAGGATGGAAACAAAAAGTCACACCAAAATAACAATTACAGAACCCAAAATTTAGTGAGCAATTCTGCCGTCAAGCTGCAACCTGAAATTCTGCCCTACGAGTCAAATCAGAAGGATTTTCTAAAGTTGACCGTTTAAAATCAAATACTAAAGTAAATCATCAAAGCAAGAAGTGTTTTAAAGACATTTTTCATAAAACAAGCAGACGGATGAGCTGCTGGTCACACATACGGTGAAGTTATCGATGGCCTCGTTAGTCTGCTTCAGCACTAAAGCATCTTTCTCCTCGGCTTTCTCCTTAACGTCCCTGATGGTTGTGTCGCCTTTTTGTTGAACAGCCACGATGCGGGTCTCCCACTCCAGCTTTCGCTGGATTAACATGCTGTCCGTCAACAACTTTCTTTTCTGCAGCTTTTCCTCCCATTTGTCTGTATATTCTAATCAAACAGGGACCCCAAATAACGTCTACAGCTCAGCAGGTTTCTTAAAGCATGAGAAGTTGTGTTAATAGGGCATTTACCTGCGTGTCCCCTGTCCAGTTTGTCCCTGGTTGCAGCCATTTCTTCCTGGTGTTTCTGTTGAAAAAAGCACTCAAAATGTTTGTACAAGGCGCTCGGTGTTCATTTAATCTCACCGTACTGCTCAGTCACAACCTGCAAATGGAGGACATTCAAACAAGAGACTAAAAAATGTCACAAGTTCAAAGAAACAGCTTCAAAAAACGACTGAGCTAAAAGATTTCTGTTGCACTTTTGTAAGAGTGTGAGATGAGCCTACAAACGATCTAATATAACCCCCCGATGTTTCCTCTGAAACGTTCTCGTCAGGACGTTAATGGTGAGCAGGTGCAATCACCAAAAACAGGAGAAAAACGAGAAATGTGTAACAGGAGCAGCTGCTCACCTTTTCATTTGTCAACATCAACCCCAGTTAGAATGAAGGGATGAACTTCAAGCATTTCTGCTGCCTCCACAACAAACCGTGGAACGAGCAGAAGAACATACGAAGAACTTGAGCTTCTTTCCTCTTTCTGGCTGATGGATTTCAGTCACGGAGGAACTTTTGTAAATAGAGCCACAGGGCATCGCCCACTGGTTTGTAACAAGCCCTGAATTCAGCACCTATGGCCCTTTAGAGCCAAATGTGAAACTATCTGAACTATCTCACCTCCTGGATTTCACTGACATTTAAAGTTTGTGTATTTTATTGTGCTGGTTTTGCTTTTATGTCATTGATTATTTGTTATTAATCGCACTATTTCTCATTGCACTGTTGGCGCAACGACAGTAAATATATTTATTCATACAAACAAAAATACAGACGAATGTCTGTTTAGGACATTGACGGGAGTCTTGACAATAGATCCACCCAAAACAACAACAAACAAAATTCTGCATATGAAAATAAGACCAGAACCATTCACTGGGGACAGATGTGGGCCACAGATGTGTTGGCAGAATTGATGTTTAAAGGCAAGCCTTTGTTAAAATAAATAAAATGTGTAGAACAAACCAGGTCAAGTTCCTTGACTTGATGTTCATATTCCGAGCTGTGCATGTCCACCATGATGGCCTTCATGTTGCTACAAAGCTCGTCCCGCAGCTCATCCTGCTCCTTCTGCAGCGTGTCAGCGGTGACCAAACGGGCTTCTTTCACCTCAGACACTGTGTCCTGGTGTTCACTCTGGAGGTGCTTCAGCTTCTTCTCATGCACCTGGTGACAAGCAAACAAATCATTAAAGATATAAAAATGTAAAGTCAATTTATTCATTTTTGCCTATATATATGGTGGAAAATATGCTTTGTGTGACATTTAAAATATGCCTAACCTTTATGTTGCAGCGTGTAATGGAACTGTTCCGGATTCTTAAAAACTTCTTTTTTTTTTTTGCCATTTCTAAGCAGAAAATTGTACTAAAATGTTTGTGATCATTAATGGGCATTAGACATATTCAGATTTTTACCCTGCATAGTTTGATAAACTCAATGCTGTTGGAGTCCGAGTGGCTTATTGTCACTGTGCTGAAAAGACTGTGACACTAAAATAAATAAAAATAAATTTGTCTGATTTGTGAAAAGCTGTTCTTATCACAGTGAGTCAATAAATGTATGTAGAATTTGAACTGACAGTGTCATACACATAACTCACGTTGTTCTGTAACAACCAGTCCGTTTATATCTTGAAACTTAAAATCTTTATGTGACTGTGTCATTATTTCTAGTTTTCATCCTGGTCAATAACCTTGAACTTGGAGTAAATCCTGCCTCTAAATGTGACTGATCTGCGTGCATGTGTCCACCTTACTTCTTTCTCAGCTCGATGACGCACATCATCCTCTTCAGTGGCCTTCTTCACAGTTGTCAGCTTGCCCCTGACATTCTTCATTCTCATCGCAGCAACTTCTCTTATGGAGTGGTACATGTCCCTCTCCCGCTTGAAGTCCTTTTTCTCTCCCCTCACTCTGTCCAGCTCCTCTCGAAGGTGAGCAACGTGCTCTATCATCTGAAAATACAGCTTTATTGTGGACAGAGCATATTTGTGACAACAATGATGGATAAAAAAGTCATCCAGGACAGGGTGTTTAGTGTTTTTAAACCAAACGGTTGGATTTCTTTCCTGTGTTGAAGACAGTTTTCATACTAATCTAAAAAGTTTTCCAAATGTTGCTCGGGTCTTAGACATTTTCAGAAAGATTTGCTCCTTGTGCATTTCCAACTAAATGGGATCATGGGACAGAACTTAACGCACCTTAAGAATAAAACCACCAAACATGGAGTACGCCATTGCTAAAGACCCTCAGGAGGGAGGGGAGGGAGAGTGATTAGACAGTGAGTTCAGTTTGCATAAATCAGCGGGCCCCGGCCTTTTTTGTGCCACGGATAGGTTTAATGTCAGACAATATTTTCACGGACCGGCCTTTAAAGTGTGGCTAATAAATACAGCAAAATGAAATGATACGACCGGCATAAAAACGGGTATTTTCTAAATATGGTAATAAATGTAAATCCACTGTGTATGCAACTTTATTAGCAGCGCCCTCGTAACATCTCACCCCTGTTCCCGCGAACATCTCACCCCTGTCCTGCAGAACGTCCACTGGCTCCCTGTCATTCAGCGCATCCATTTCAGGCTCCTGTCACATTCAAAACCCTCCATACGTGACTGACCTACTCCATCACTACACTCCTTCTCGTTCTCTCCGCTCCTCCGATGCCAACCTTCTGTCTCTCCCCTGTAGGACCAAGCTCCAAACCTGGGGAGACAGAGCCGTCTCCATAGCCGTCCCCACCCTCAGGAACTCACTGCCCCAACAGCTTCGTGTCTGCTCCGACCTCACCACTTTTAAGAAAGAACTCAAAACCCACCCGTTTAAAATTGCTTGTAATGTTTAAATGTGCCCTTTTTATGTGTTGTGATGCATTGCTGATTTTATATTTTATGAACTCTTGTAAAGCGTCTTTGAGTACTTAGAAAAGTGCTGTAAAATATAATGTATTATTGATATAAGTATTAACATCGTGCTGACATCGTAACATAACGGCCTCTCAGTTCCACACTCTGGTCGTAATAGTAAAGACTAAACATGCCTTCAACATGTAAGGATGGTACCCCTCTGTTGGTCTCCCTGTGTCTGTACCCCCGTGTCTCTCCTTGATTGCCCTGATCAGTTCCACCTGTGCGTGCTGTCCAGCTGCTTGTGTCTAGTCTGTGTATTTAAGTCTTGGTCTGTGTCCCATTCTTTGTCGGTCCATCGTCTGGTACTCCTCCTGATCTGTCTCCTGTGGTCCTTGTGTTCTCTATGACCCAGATCTGAAAGTGTATGCTACCACGTCAGCTGTTTATTTTTCATTATTAAAGTATTTATGATTTTACGTCTTGGCCTCAGAGTCCTGCCTGCACCACTGGGTTTTCTCCTGTCCTGCAAAGCCTGAAAACCGTGACACATCATAAGATAAAAACAAATATATGTGTTACTGGCAGGAGCAGCCCCTTTAATGTGACCGAGGCAAGCGTCAGGATGTTGATGCAAACACCAAGCGGGTCTCACTCATCACGTTAAAACTCAGACATGCTACGTATGAACAAGATTTGGGCTTCCTACCTGTTTTCCATCACTCTTTGTCAGGCAAGATGAAAAATATGCAGTGTAATCCTTCAAATGCGCAGATACAGCTGCACACCTCCACCTGTCTGCTCCAGACCACGCAGCTGAATTATGCCCCTTTTCCATAGTAACTTTAGTACTGGTACAGCACGGCTCTACTCGGCTCAGTACGGTACACATTCTGTGTTTCCATTATGCTTTGAGTACCGGTTCCAGTGGGCGGGGTTCAAATTGCTGTCACTCGCCTCTCACCAGCTGGTGGCCGTAATGCTGGTGGTAGGAGCTTAAAACAGTTTCAGTACAGGGTGAGAATTTATTTTGAAGTTTCTGGTAAATTAAAAAGAATACAAATTATTAAAATTATCAAACTATATATATATATATATATATATATATCCTGCTATTGAACTTTTAATGAACTTTAGTTCACCATTAAATCTCTGATGAAGCAGATTCTACAAAAACATCTATATTTAACATTTTACAAGTTTTCTTCATTTCATGTATTTGCACTAATTGTGTCTACTTTTATTGTCAATTTAGATATGTGGTTTTGTTTCTTGTTTACATATATTTATTATTATTTTTAGCTTTGCTTTAAAGTTGAATTCTTGTTTTGTGGTTTGTACGTCTGTGGGTTAGAATAAAGTTGAACTAAAGGCTGTAGCTCTTCTTTAAATATCTTCGAGGGAAATATTCCTGAGAGATCCCAAAATGTTGTTTCTTTTTATGATTTTTCATCTGAATTAACATTAACAGATTATTTAATGAAGTCATTAAAGTGAAAACAGGATTTCATGATAAAGCCGGTACGTTTATTTATTTTTTTAATCTTTACTGATTAAAAAAATACATTATTTTTCATGGTCTGCCCGTCTGCTGGGATCGGGGTTCAGCCTTCTGCGAATCAGCAGCTCGTATGATCCTGCGGTGACCGGCGGAGCTTGGAGCCGGAGAGATGATGCCCTGCACGGCCTGAGGGGGCTCCGGTGGAGAGGACCAGCGGAGCTCCATCTAGTGTGCTCTGAATTTTGTCATCAGCCACCAAGCACAAAAAACACCTGCACTTCAGCTTTAGACCACGGTGTTGTCATTATTGTTTTTTAAATCTTAAAATAGATCCAGTTGCTCCTCGAGTTCGAACAACGGTAATTGCAAATGGCAGATAGAATGTTGTGAAATTTCTCCAACAACCAGTGACTCCACCCCCTGACCAATCAGTGACTGACAGTGTTCTGACATCACGTTTTGATGCCTGCTCGGCCCGACTAGTACCAGAGAAAAGGGTTCTGAAAAAAGGGACCGGTTCTATGTACCGTTACTAGTGGAAAAGCCTTGGAACCATGCTGAGTCGAGTAGAGCCATGCTGTACCATTACTGATAGAAAAGGGGTATTACTCTGGTCACCACCTGCACCGGCAATGTAGAACCGAACTGCGCCTGCGCTCCTAACAGAAACTGAAACTAACCACTTGTGTATGTTGACCTGCATCAAGAGTGAGTCATTGACAGATGTGCTGGAGAGAATTTGGTGATTTAAAAAAAAAAAAAACATTTTTCCTGTGTGGTCCAGTACCAATTGACCCACGGACCTGTCCCGGTCCACAGCCCAGGTGTTGGGACCTCTGGCTTAAATGGACCAAGTCACTGCAGTTTAGAAAACTTCTCCAAGTGTATTAAAGATAATAAGTCCACTGGCTTGGTTGAATAATCGTTAATAAAACAGACTTTCTTTGTCTATAAACCCGGCTCATACTTGATGTTAATCAATACAGAAACATGTGAGTTATTATGTAAGATTATTGATTAAGATTATTGTGTGTTATCAGCTCCAACCTGCTCCCTGGACAGCTGCTCCTTGTTGAGGCCATTTATCAGAATGCGTGGCCTTGCACTTGAAGTTTTTTTACTGGTATGTCTCCTTTTGGGTGGCTGGAGGGGAAACACATGTTTAAATACAATATAAGGCTTAAATAGTATTAACTGGGTACTTTTTTAAACGGTATATATATATAGCCTCCTCGATTTGTCAGGAGCGTCTCAGATTCTAGTAATTGAAAAATAAAAAGAAACAAAAAAACGTCATTTACCATTGTTTGTTCCGCTGGGAGGCTGTGGACAAATGAAGTGGAAAATGTACGAGTCACAAGTCCAGCTCTGTTTAAAACTAGTCTCGATGAGACCCTGGAATCTACTTAGATAAGTTTGTTTCCATGGCAACAGCGCACATTAGTATCCCTGACACCGGCACAGGCGGCCCGCCGCATAAGCAGACTTAGGGCCCCGTGGCCACTAGGGGCCCCCCTAAGTGGATTTTTTATTTTATTTTTTTAATAATGATGGTATGGTATAAAGTTTATTCATTTTAAAAATACAAAACAGTTTCATAACTATATAAAAAATACAAGAGATTTAAAATGAAAGGCAGCAGAAAGAAGAAAAAATCTTATCATATCTGCCCCTTTTTTTCAAACATTTAGTTCAATCATAATAATTTTCAAGTAAAAGAACAAAATGAATAACTCTTTCTAATTTTCCTAATTCTAATACAAAACACACACTAAGCTACTTCATATATACTTTTTAACAATCCAGCTTTGATCTTTTTCTTAAATGTACACATTGACTTGACATTTTTCACATCACTCTCTAGACCATTCCACAATCCAACTCCTTGGATTGAGGTAGACCTTCCCTTCAGACTAGTTCTGAATTTTGGTTTGACAAATATCTCTATCCCCTTAAGATTATAACAACTTTGTCTTTTAATGAAATTTATTTGGATATTTAATAGTAATGTGTTATTTTGAGCCCTATACATAACTGATAAAATACTATAATCTACCAAATCATGGAAGTTCAATAACTTCAGTTGATAAAATAATGTGCTTGATGGGTGACAGTAATGCTTTCTGGTGATAATTCTTACAGCTCTTTTCTGTAAAATAAAAATAGGTTTTGTAAATGTTTTACACGCTTTCCCCCAAACATCAATGCAATTAATTTAAATGTAGAACAGTGATTGTGTTATACAACATGTACACAACATAATGATTGATTTTTATATGATTCTATTACACACAATTTCATAATAAAGTTGTGATATGTTTTTGAAACAATAATTTATATGTAACCGGGTGGTTTATTAGTTTCAAAATAGTGTTTATATGGAAGTTAATGTAAATTCCCACCCGTTTTGGGTCCATGAACGCACCTACGCCCCGCGCGTTTCCCCACGAGAGAAGATGGAGGACAAGCAGCTTCTTCTGCAGAAAAATACATCTTAAACTCTGATAAAGTTGTTAAATCTGAACAACAGTATTACCCTGTCTGAAGTTTATATGGGCTGAGTTTTTATAAGATATTAGTCTCAGTGTGTGAGCAAGGAATCTTTGATAAAATCAGCTTTGTTAGGAAAAGACAACCACTCAGTAACAAGTCAATTTATAGCTTGTTAGGATTATTTACTGAGCCCAACTGGTCCTAAACCAGTAACTGACACAAAGACAACTCGCTTCAACAACATTAATCATAATGTCATACACTACGAGCACATACACACACACACACACACACACACACACACACACACACACAGAAGTGAAAGCTGAGAGGCAAAAATAAATAAATAAATAACAGCAACAGAAATCATTTATTGAAAGGTAGTTATAAATTTTACAGAGTATTAGGACCATGCTGTTAAGAAGCATATTTTATGCAGAGCATCTTGAAACAGGATCATCCATCCATCCATCCATCCATCCATCCATCCATCCATTTTCTTCCGCTTATCCGGGGTCGGGTCGCGGGGGTAACAGCCTAAGTAGGGAGGCCCAGACTTCCCTCTCCCCAGCCACTTGGGCCAGCTCTTCCGGGGGAATCCCGAGGCGTTCCCAGGCCAGCCAAGAAATATAGTCCCTCCAGCGTGTCCTGGGTCTTCCTCTGGGCCTCCTTCCGGTGGGACGTGTCTGGAACACCTCACCAGGGAGGCGTCCAGGAGGCATCTTAAACAGATGCCC